TTGCAGGAGCAATCTGGAACTTTTAATCAATTACAGACTTATTGTTTTTTTATCAGTCAAGCTAAGGTCCACAAGAACTTACTAATGATTAACTGAGCTAAAGATTTATGTCGCATTACCTAATATTCTGTTGCTCCAGCCTTAAAACTGTTTTAAATGCATTTTTTTTATTTGCACAATGAAAAGGTTTACTGTAATTGTGGTTAAGTTTCATTAAGCTTTAATGCATAGCATTAGGGCTGCAACTAACAGTTATTTTAGTAATTGATTATTCTATAAATTGTTACGGTGAATTGATTTATCGTTTAAAAAAAAATTGGGACATTCTACAGATTTCCACCGCTTTTTTATACTATATTAAAAATACATAAACAGATTGAATAGAGAAGTAACCCAATTCCTCTGTGAAATAAGGAAATATATTTTATTATCTATAATGTAATTACATGGCATCCTTTTAGTGAATTTGAATTAGGTGAAGCTAAAACCATCCCACTTGAGGACTTTTAGGTAAAAAATATCTACAGACGAATGTTTTTATTTTCGTCTTAAATTCAAAATGCTCATATAATTTACTTATTTTCAATTACTAAATCAGTTGAGAATTATTTCAACTGAGTTAATTGTGATGAACTAATTCATCACAATTAATCGTTTCAGCTCTACACAGTATCATAAATCTCTTCATTCTTTCTTCGTCATGTCATATTAGTTTCTAGTGTGATTTGCCAAACCATAAAATGTCTCGAATGAATGACCTCTTACTCAACATGTTGCTACCCGCGCCTCCTGTTGACATTTGCGTCTTTCGTCTGACCCCCTGCAGCTGTGTCCTTGAAAACAGCTGATTACTCACTGTTTTTGCGCCACACACCTCCAGTTCAGTCAGGATGAGCCACACGATTAGTATTTCCAAATGAAAGGGAGATGGAGGGTGGGGAGGGGGGGTCCTTTACTATTTCTGCGTGAGTCAAACGATGAGTGGGCCTGCCGAGAAGGGGAAGTGTGGGAGGCCCACAGAAAGGGTGGTCTCCAGTTGACGCGGGCACAGAGACAGAAACGGTGTGTGTTTGGGACGAGAGCGGGCCGTCAGTAGAAGAGGAGCTCGCTCTAAGGACACAGTGTGGCCAGTGTTTATCTGGGCTGAAGTCGAGGTGGGTTCGCAAAGAGGGATTGGATGTTTTACAGGACTGAACTCGACGCGTTTATCTCCGTAACGGCCGTTTGAACATCTGAGATCTCTCCGGCTTTATCCAAACAGCTTGAGTGACGTTTGATGGGGTTACTTGTAAGCGCGTATATATCTTCTCTCAACAGCCCCCGTCCTGGAGGAAAAGGCCTCCACTTGTGGCAGCACGAGTCTCTTTAAGCACACATGCATTATGCATAGTTTTCCTTTTGTCCATGCATGTTTGACTTCCTGTCCAATGACAAGTCCTACTGTTTAGATTGTGGCCAGCCTCTAAATGCAGTCTGGCATTACATGGTTTCACACAACAACTTAAGTGCTCTTCTTTGGCATTGCAAATATGTGAAGTATGCAGGTCTGTCTCGTGCCTCCCTTTGTCTCTCTCTCTCTCTCTTTCTTTTTCTCTCTTTATCTGCACCTTTATCCTTCTCATTTCTATTGAGGTTTTCCCAGGTAGCCGGACCAAGAGAACATTCCCTTGGGATCTTGGCACTTCTCTTAGAGTTCAATTTGCCTTTTTTATTTTTTGTTTTTGTTCAAGACTTTGGCATTGGTTGTTGTTGCAATCAAGTACGCTCTTGTGCCAGTTTCTGTGTATTCCTCTGCTCTATATTCATTGCATGGGAATCGCCTAAGGCAAAAATTCAGCTAAATTTCACCTTCTCTGAAGAGCCTCCTACATGATGTGCCAGTTTTCACTAGGTTTGCAGTTTGCAGCAAAATGTTTTGGCAGTGTTGTTGTCTTCTGGCCTTTTTAGGCAATACGACAAATCCTACAAATGCAAACAGTTAACATGTTAAATTTTGACTATAGTTGTGTAGAGCAATTGATCAACTTTCATCTCTTTCACAGGCCTAACTGATGCAGATGTAAAAATGTGATTTTTTTCCAATGAATAAATTAAACTTTCCAAAGAACTGGCAGCTCGCGATGACATCACATTTCTGTGTGTCATACAGTTTAGAAAGATAGCAATAAAAGTGATTGTTCTTCCTTGGCAATAGATTTTATAGGACTTCTGGACACTATTAACATGAATTAGGCCAATTGAATTACACAGAAATAAATGGATTGAAGCATCCTTTGTTAAAAAAAAGTTGCTGCTCCCATTGAACAAACAGTAGAAAAAGAAGAAAAATACCCCAATACCTTTTTAGTTTATGGTTAAACTTTATGCTTTTTAAGATGATAAAATTTTACCATCAATTTACACTTTGATAGTTGCCAATTCCTGGTGGGACGCTGTTGCTGAGTGAACATGAGCCCCTGCTCCATTGTCAAGTCTCAGTCTAACCAGTCAATGCCAAGATTGGTTCTAGCCAAGTTGGGTGAGTCTGTATTGGCAGCGTGTTGTTCTCTAAGTGGATGTGACTGTGGGCAGGAATGTGGGAAGGTCTCTGGTCTGTACACACACAGGAGATGTGGTTGACGCTCTGATGGCGTCACTTTGAGCGGATACCTTTGGGCGACCAATCAATCAATCTCGATATATTTGTCTGTTGCGATTTGCCCCGTCCAGATGACTTTGTATCTCCACTCCTGCCACATAAATTCCAATTTCTACGGTCTTGTCGCAGATTGAAAATGGTGGCTGAGACATTCTTGTTGACGTAAATCCATGGACCAACCAATGAATGGGGAAGAACCACATAAGATCCGCGAATTGAGAGGAATCTGGCCTGGTTTGACTGGTGAAGAACTGCTTAAAGCTGTGCCTGTGACAAAAGGACTATAGCATTTTTATTATCAGTTTAGGGTTTAAAACTGAGATCAGACGAAACACGGAGCTGCAATAAGCTTTTATTTACATGTCAAATGTGTGGCTAATTCAGATTGCAAGAAAGCGAGAGAAAGCCAGACTTAGATCTAGAAATGTTGGCTACCTTTTGGAGATCTTAGAATCTTCATTGTTGAGGTAAAAAATATGAAAAACCCTGATTTAGTACTGCTAATGATCATTTCAATAACAACCACACTATTTACTAATCTGAAAAAATTACCTCTTTGCAATCTATTTGACTTTATGTTAGAAATAGTGAAATTCAGTTTTACAATAAATTCCCTCTCATACATGGAAGAGGAATGAAGTTGCCTGTGCTGTGCTTTTGAAAGGATTAATATGGAGCTGATAATTCAAAATAGTGATTTACAGTTAATGTAAAATGTCCTGACAACAACTGAAACAAAGCCAGTACATCTTGATACCTAAACCAAACTTTCAACATCCAGGCAATGAATCAGCTGTCTGATAACCACGGCGCTGTAGCTGGATAAGCGCCATCTCCACCCATTTGCTGTAGGAACAAACAGGAAGTAGTTCACCTTAGTCAGAGCAGAGGGAGCATGTGCCGCAGAGTCAGTGGGGCCGACATGCTGTTTGTTTACATGTCGGCAGCACATGACGCTGACTGTGTCCTCGCCTCAGTCCTGGCAGCAGCCGGCTGCTCACCAGAGCTATAGGCTCCATCAATGAGCCGATTGTTGTCGCTAGCCGAGGATCCATCCGCCTGGCCCCAGTCGAGTTGCAGCGTGCCGCGGAGACGAGTCGTGTGTAATCTGCTGCAGACTGACCCTGGAGAGGAAGCTTTAGCTCACCAGCTGGCTTTTAGTTTGTTCCAGAGCGCTGCTGCCATACACTAAGATGGCTTTCTTAGTTGTTTTTATTTTTACTGTGCTTGATGAGGTAACATAAATAGGGCTTATTTCAGGTCTGTTAGTACAAAAAAAGTTCTGAAAACTTAATATTCACCAGAAAATGCAATAATTTATTTATTTTTATAACCTACCTCCATTTTTAGGTTTGATTCTTTTCTCTCTTTCTTACTTTCTTACTTTCTTTCTTTCTTTCTTTCTTTCTTTCTTTCTTTCTTTCTTTCTTTCTTTCTTTCTTTCTTTCTTTCTTTCTTTCTTTCTTTCTTTCTTTCTTTCTTTCTTTCTTTCTTTCTTTCTTTCATTCTTTGTTTTTCTTTTTTCATTCATTCGTCTGTTCTCTCGTTTGTTCTTCCGTGTTTTCTGTCGTTCATTCCTTCTTTTGTTTTTGTTCGTTATTTCTCGTTCATTTATTCGTTCTCTTTTGTTTGTTCATTTGTTCTGTCTACTTTGTTCTTTCTTTTCATTGTCCCTTTCACTCACTTGGTTTTTCTCGTTCTTTTGAATGTTTGTCCTTTCATTATTTGTCCGGTTCTTTTCCCACACAAACACACATGTGGGACATTCTTGTAAAATTGTAAAAAAAAAAATTATAACTTAATACCAAAATAATCCACCAGCTACTGTAAATATTTCAGAGGTATTAAGAATTGTACTAGTTGGGTTTGTTTTCTTTTCAGCACAATTACTTAACATTTGATTTTTTTTTTCTACGCTGAAAATATTTTCTGTTTCAAAGTTTACATTTTCCTAAAATGTATCATTGTGAGATGCTGCTGCTGCTGCTGGAGTGACAAATCAGTCACTAATAATCTGCTAAACAAACTGTGTGTGTGCAGGACGGTGGTTCTGATCAGCTGACACTGTTTTTTTTTTTGTTGGTTGTCTTAGCTTCACTGCGTTAGCTGCATGCTAACCTGTGAGCCGGCTCTTTGTTTTTGTCCCGGACTGAAATGCCAGACCAATTACCGGGCGGATTGTTTACTTCTAATACGATTGAGCGGCGCGTTTCCTGACATTTCAGTTGCACTTGTCGTCATGATGTTGTGGATGCGCTAATTGAATATTTTTCTCTGTCTACGCTAAGAGTACATGAACCTATTAAATTGATTTGGTTCTGTGTCTTTAAATATTATTAATGTTTTATTTTTGTGTCTGCAGATGGATCCCTCCCTAAAGAGCCAAAAGGAGAGGTGTCGAGCCAGATAGCAGGTAACAAACAAACACACACACACACACACACACACACACACACACACACACACACACACACACACACACACACACACACACACACACACACACACACACACACACACACACACATGATATTTTGCTGCTTCGTTTCACCCTTGTATTGCCCACAGAGGACACGTGTGTTATTGATGGTGAAAGTAAAAAAATGTCGCACACACTCTCATGCAAACAGCATTAATAATGCATTGTGACAGTGACAGGTCATTGTCCTCCGAATCCCTGACATCTCCTTGGTATTCCGCCTCTTCCCTGCCCTCCCACAGCGATCTTGGGGAGACGAATGGGTGGCCATCTTCTGTGCCGTCGGCTCTGTTATCATTTATTAACTCGGTGTGCCTTTCAGTAAAGCCCAACATTTGTTGGGGCTGTTATTAATGTCACGACAGAGCTCGGTGTACTGCTGCGTGTTTCCCTTAGTTTTGCTGAGATTTCTTAAGTTTTAAAAATTTCCCACTTGACTTGACATTTTACACCATTGCTCGCCCAAATAGGAAGTTTTCTAGTTTTCTGGAGACGCTAATATAGCAGCAAAAACTGTCTGACTTTGGTCTGAGAGAATAGTTAGTGTTGCTACCTTCAGAGCAGCGAGAGAGAGATGAAAATCTCAAACCCAAGATCCAAAGGAGGACAATGAGTTGGCAGGTTGCTCCGAAGCCTCGGGGTCTTCAGGGAAGCAGCCTCAGTCCATCCAGAAGGAAGGGACCGAATAAAGGAATCTGAAATTTTATCTCTTGAAAATCTGCACTTGATATTTATAATCAAAAGGATGATTAAAGGTTTCGAAGTGCTGTGTTGAAGTATTTATATCTATATATTTGTTTGAAACATTACAACCACATACGTCTCTCGGTTTCATTGGGGTTCTTAGTGACAGACCAACACAATGGAACGGTAACGGCGCACCGGTCGCAGTTTTCTGGCTGAAATTTTTAGTTTAGCCTTTTATTTTTTAAAAAGCTAACACGAAAATCTCATAAGGTCACAGCTCGCCTTCAGTGTGTTGTGACGGTGGCCGATTTTCAGTCCAGCTAATCCCCGTCGGGGATCCTCATTTTTTAAATTGTTTGGACTTTGACTATTCCCTTGTAGCTCTAGTTGTTTGTTTGGGTTTGTTGTCCTACAAAGTCAACTGCTTTCAATGGATTTTCCTCTACGATAGCGCCATGCTGCCACCACCATGCTTCATCATATGGGTGGGTGATAGGGGCTTAGAGTCTTTTCGCGATATTTTGTGGTGCTGCTGCGACGACAATAAAATTTCACCATTTATTAGTTCTTTTTTCTGAATAGCTGTGAGTGCATGCCACCACAAACACATGTATTCTGCCACCGTTGGCATCTTTGCGGATTTCTTAAGTTTTACGTTACGTTTTTGTCTAATCTGACCAGAATACGTGCTGCAATTAGAACATCAGTCTTTACATCTTCTTTCGCTTTTCAGGTTTTCATTTGTGAAAGCATGTATGTTTTTCTTCCTCTTCACAGTTGCAACCAATTTAGTGTGAACCGATTACAGAAAAAACCCTAAAGGGATACAGTAAAGTTTGTGGTGAATAAATGTGGGAAAGTACAAAGAAGTATGAATACTTTTGTAAGCACCGTGTGTGACGCAATTAAAGCCTCTGGGCCTTCACAGACTTTTGGTGTCATGACTGTTTGGCAGCTTTTACTAGGACTGAAAAAGGAAAAGCTAATCCTGCCAAGTATAAAATATAGATCGGCTCTTCTGCTGAATGTGTGCGGGCTCGTTGTTTCGCCTCCAGATGGCGCTTTTCAGCAGCTTGAAAACAATTAGGTTTGCCTCTGACTGTGAAGGTTAATAAATCTCTTCAGAAATATCGTAGGTGCACCTCACCCAGGGAGGCAGGAAAAGGAAAAAGAGAGAGTGTTCAGGGATCTTTAATCGATGAAATGCGAACAGAGCCTCGTTCTTTGTCTCGTCACGGCTCATCAAACAGAGGTGGTGGCAAAAGACCCGGATAAATGAACTGCTGGCACCGATAACAAGCGGCCTTTCAACTCTGTCTCTTTTCCACAGTCCCCCTCCTCCCCGCTCCACCCGCTCTCCTGCTGTGTTTGGGTCGCTGGGGTAACCCTGGCCTGTTTCTGCCTCGGTTAGACTACCCTGCTATTAGAGGTCTGGATACGACGGAGAGAGCAGAAAGAGAGCGAAGACGGTCTGCCGTCAGTTCTGATTTCTTCCAGGGCAGAAGTTGGTTCTTGGGAGGCATGGGGGGTAGATTTAGACAAAAGATAAAAGACAAAGAGTGTCTGCAGTTATATGTTTTCTGTTCGAACTGTGAAGTCTTCTAGAATTTAAAAAGACAGTAACGTCTAAATAAATCTGTTGAAACAGAATAGAATGTAATTGCATACGCATACCTGTCAAGTCTCCCGTTTTGGTAGAGAACCTACCGGTTTCTACCCCATTTTCCTGCTGTGCCGGCCCAAGCCTCCATGGGGCCCTAAGCAAAATTTGGTTTTGGGCCCCTCTATTTCTGCTAACAATGTGGATTGCCAGAAACAACAGTTAGACAATTAGATCATTCGCTGGGGTAACCCTGCTATAAACGTATTGCATCTCTGATAGTGCCTTTCACATTATGTCCAATGCATCTATGATATAGGATACGTTTAGTGGCCAGTAAATTTCTGGGCACTGATTTCCTTAATTTTGGGGTATCGTGATCAGCCGATACTTCCATGTGAAGCCCATCTTATCCCTTGATCTTATCTTCATCAGCAAAGGTTTAAAAATCAGCCTTTGTCCTCTTCTGCTCTGCAGTGAGAGGTTTGACTGACAGAATCAAAATGGCAGGTCAGGCTTTTTAAAGATCGGTGACCAGGGATTGGCCAGAAAACTGCAATCAGTTCATCCCTATTTGAGATGTAATACATGTACACATATTCATAACATATTTTGATTAAAATAATTTCTCTTAATCTAAAAATTCACATTCTACCAGAGCTTTGGACTTTTGTATGCAACCTGCACGCTGCACAGCAGGTCCAATTACCAGCAAAGTCTGCATGACCTTCCACGGCCACCAGGAGGCCCCCAAAAGCATTTCTTTTTCTTTTTGTGCATGAAATAATAATTTCTATATACATTATCAAATGTATATGATGTATTATTGTAAAAATTGTGAAATGTCTGTTTTTGTTATCATGATGACAAAGAAATTGTTGCTAAAAAAATGCACTGGTCACTCGCTTGTTAGCAGTGGCATAACCAGTGCCAGCTGGATTCCACAGTGAAGGCATTGTTACCGTGGCACAGCTGTGCGTGAGAGCCTGTCAGCCAATCAGATTAGCTCGTCTTGGTTCTGCGGAACGCAGTAACACAACCGGCGCCACGACCAGTCGGAGTCTCTTTATTAGGCCAGAAAAGTGGGGCAGGAGCCGTCAGAGGTAAAGTGGACTAATGATAGCTAAGGCAGGGTGAGAAGAGTGAGTCAGTGGCAAACTGCAATCATCTTATGGAAATTATATATTCAGCAAATGAAGAGGATAACTGTATATTCGCTACGTGGCGAGTGGTTACTTTGAGCTAAGGTGCAACATTGATGCAAGTTATTCGATTCTTCAAACACAAACATGGCGTTCGGTTAAATTGACTTCTTTTTCTGTAGTGTCCTAGTGTGTTTTTGTTTGGAAATGGGTGTACTGTGATTCAAGTCCTACTGTCAAGTCGCAAACAACGCCAAACAACGGCATTATTATTACAGTCACACAGAAAAAAAAAATTTTTTTGTTAGTAAAGATCAGTAAGAACATTTGTTACAAAAACGACAAGAGTCGAGCAGAAAATTTTGTCTTTAAAGCAGCTAATAAGTTCAGATTCAGGTAAAACCAAACGGATGTTGCTGAAATTAAGTGTCCACTTTTTATCCAGTATTGTGCTTTATACAACCGTGCAGTATCTGTCCACTCCTTTAGTAGTCTCATAATATTTTAAAATAGGAAAACATCATCCTTCAATATTTTTGAAAGTTGCGATGATAATATCCATTTGTGGTTAGTCTGGATTTTTTGTCGATTCTTTTTTTTCTTGTAAAAGCTAACATTTGATAGTAAATGTTCACACTAGCATAAAGCCTTTCGGAAAGTAGTCAGCGGCGAAGAAAAGAAAAAAAGTTTTGGAGAGATGGAGGTGCAAAACTTCACGTGAACGGGAGCAGGAGAGCGAATCAGTCATGGCTGAGAGGCGGCCGGTAACAAGCTGATTATTTGACAGGTGAAAAAGAAGACTGGATTCAGTCGACTCGCTGAAGATTTCTCCATGGCACTCGCAGTTCCAGGACCTTTTTTAGCAGAAATTCTGTGAAAAAGGCCTCGGAGGAGTAGTGACTAAAAGAATCTGTTTGCAAGAAGAAGGAGGGGAAAACCGAAAATTCTTTCAAGACTAACAGAAAGTCTCATACTGATTGGCCGTTTTAGATACAGAGATGGATCCGTTTAGCTCTTTTTTTTTTTTTTTTTTTTTTGTTCGTGTTGCAACAAGAAGAGTTCAGTGTTTTGGATGGGAATGTAAAGATGGCTGGTTGAGTGTGTGTTGAATTGGCCATATGTTTTAGATCATTCATATGCTGATGCTAATGTCCCAAGTTTCAGTTTGTTGACAGTCTATCAGTTTATTTATTGAAAATCTGCTATTTGAAGCAGCTGATGATGCCATGGATTCACAAAGCATTCCCACAACCTTGGAACCATTGGAACCGCACCAGAATTCACTTCAGTGGATTTGAGACCGAGGGTTTTCTGCCATACCAGAGTTCGATTGTGCGCTCACACCTCCCCAAGCGAGCTGGACTTTCTAGACAAACGGACTGGAGTTTGATTAAAGTGGAGTAAGCAGGCCTGGTATGAATGCATAGTCTCCAAATGTGTGTGTGTGTGTTTTTTTTTATTATTATTCTTTCTGTACTTGTTTCTGTTTGCACCTTAATCCTGTT